CCTCCTAGTATAAACCTAAAGTTAATGTATATTAAATCTTGAACTATTGAAAGCTTTGTTCCTTAGAATTAAAAATAATACAAAGTTTTGCACTCTTACCACTTCTATTTAATTTAGTTCTGAATGAGAGCAACAATAGAGTAGCAAATATAAAAGGGACATAGATTGAAAAAAAAGTGAAACCGGCATTACACTAGGTGATAATGAAAAATGCATGAATTTTGAAAATATATGTAGAAAACCCTGCAGATTCAACTAAAAGTTATTAGAAGCAATAGGTAGAACAAAACAGCAGGTGACAATGTTAACGTAAAAGATCCTGGCCTAATATGCACACAGGAAGTAGGAAACCACAACAAAGAATGCAAATATATTTACAATTGTGCCCAAGGGAAGAAAGTGTTAGAAATAATTTAATAAAGGAGGTAAAATGATAATATAAAAAACTACAACACATAGTTAGAAACATAGAATTGAATATTAAAATATTGAAAAATAACATGTACAAATGTAAGGAATATCAAAAGGAATATACAGATTTCCTATAATGCCAATTATATTTTAAACAATATTTTAATAAAATTGAACTTGTAAATGCTAATGTTATTGAATGTAAAATACAATAAAGCTATTGCTATCTGCAGCAAAGAAAAATGGAATAATCATATCTGATTTCAAAATTTTCTACAATGTGATTTCAGTAGAAATTATTCTACTGAGTCTATCCAGGTTTGTTTCTGATTGACTTGAGAATGTTCTAGGAGTATGGTCTGCTCCCCTGACTACCTCCAGGAATCATTAAAGATAAAAACATTCTCAAACTATAGAACAGAATACCCACTTGAACTCTTTTCTGTGAGTATTCAAGGAAGTGAATACCTCTACCTGAATAAGGTGCAAATGGTGAGCTTTATCTACTGGTGTTCAATCTCTGATTCTTCATTAACTTGACTGTGAAGAAATAACTACAGAAACAGAGAAAAAGATTTTAGAAATGTTGCAATTTGATATGCAATCCTGTAATGGAATCTAAATTTTAAAATTAGGCTTTTAATATATATAATTGTGTAAGTTATTTATTTTAGTAAGTCATTTAAAATTGTTTATACTTATATGTGGTCTCAGATTTATTTAATCATTGCAATGGTAATGAGGAAATATTTCATATATTCTGTGCTCAGTTTTCCTTTTACTAACATCTTTCATTTGTATAGTTCTTATAATTGTTTCCATTGATATATTAGCAATTAAAACTTAGAGTTTACTTAAACTTTCTTAGTTCTTAACTAATGTTCTTTATACTTTCATTGTCTTGCAATCAATTTTGAAAAACACTGGTGAGTCACTTAGTACAGTTCTCTTTTACTGGAATATATGGCATTTCCTTTATATGGTTCAATCAAGTTTTGTATTTTAGTGTAAAAGATCACAGAGATAGAGTGGCATTCTGATTATTATATATCAATGAGTCATACTATCTATAATATATTATTCTTTCTATTGATCTTGGTCACATTATCAATGTAGTAGTATTTGTCAGTTTTATCAATTGAGATTATTTCTCATTCATATTTTTGTTTGAAAGAAATTTAAGCCCACACTCAAAGCATGAAAATTTATGCTCTTCCCTCCAAATTTAGAGTAGCTTATATAAATTATTTGGAATGTTTTCTGCATGGCTGACTTGTCTTATATATTTAATTGTTAATCAATTTTGATTTAGGGACTTTTGCACTACACTTTGTATTATACTATACTACTACTTTATTCTTTTTCCCAAATATTCTAGCTTTGTTTCTTGAATTTTTTGAGTTGATTTCTCTTTCCAATTATATATATTTCAATATGTGCTTGTTTTTAATAATCATACCTACACAATTGTGTAATCCCATGTAATCCGTTTAATCCCATCAAAGCCCAAGATCCAGAGACTATAAAATGAAGTTCCCAGAAGAAAACAACGCAGAGTCTCCTGCCCCCATGCCTGACTGTCCTCACCAGGGTCCCTTGGAGGGGGACGGGTTGAGTTTCCCTCCCCGCCCCGAGCAGAGCCCCAACAGCTGAAGACCTCTGGAACCGAGCCACAGTTATGCTTAAAACCACTCTCCACATGCTCAGATGAGTCTCACACATGAAGGAATGGGCAGAGGAACCCAGGTGTGCGGGACTAGAGCTGAGTTCTTCAAGCCTGCTCAGATGGGGACTCGGCCTCCTCCATCCAGATCCCCCATCTCCCAGTAGCTAGACAGTTACACCCATCAACTGCACCCGGTGCCGTGTAATTCCATCAATGGCCAAGATCTGGAGGCTATAAAACCAAGCTCCCAGAAATGCGGGCCATGTGATCTCTTATTGTCTAGTTCTCGCTCTCAGAGAACCCAGCAGGCTAACAAAAGTACCCCTGTGGAGTATTCAATATGCCAAAACCCCGTAACAATGATAGATCTCATTCCCTGACCCAGAAAGAGCCTCCAATATGGCACTTGCTAAAATCTCAGAGCTAGGACGAATGGAGACATTACTGGTGCCTTCTCGAGGAAATCGATGAACAAGGGAATGACAGAAATAAAATGATACCTACACAATTAGATGTTCCAGGTTCAACACATACACACACATACACACACAAACTACACTATTTATTGGTGAGAAGTTTCTATACATATTTCTGAACCATGGCATTAAAACAAACTACTGGACAATAGGAGTGTCTCACAATTTCTGAGTATTTGTTTTGCTTTTCTCCAATTATTCAGTTGTGATTAGGATAAATCTGACATATAAATTTGGTTAATTTGAATATACATATGTACTATAATGTATATAATGTACAATCAATTATTAAATGTATTAAATATATAGAAGTCCCCCAATAAATATGCTCATTATTTCTACAAATTACTTTGTGCCTTTTTAATTCTATTTGAATTTTTTTTCAGAGATAATATTTAACATGATTCCTATCCTCTTGTACGTCACTGTTAGCTATAGACATGATGTTAAATCAAGAGTCTGAAAGCATTATCTTCATTTTGAATGTGTGACTCTTGTCATTGATTATAAGGATATGATGTAGCATAGTCTGATTCCTGTAAATTCCACTTAATAATAGACGGTGATTTATTAAAGTTCTACTGATATGGTTTGTTGGCTTTGTGTGAAGGATTTTGCATCATGTATATACCGAAACTATTTATAAAATTCTTTCTTGTAGTATCTTTGTCTGGAATGATTTTAAATGGTTGTTTTTCTTTACCAGAATCTGTGAGACTTATATGGTAATACCAAGGTAAGCATTTTCCCATTATAATCCTAGTGACTCTATTATGTCTTTCATTTTTCTTGCAACTCAGAAATTTCCTATTTTATATAATAACTTTTGAAGACCATTTATACAATAACTTCTGAAAAACATCACTAATGTTAGCACACATTCACCTACTTCCCTCTTTTTTTAGATTTTTTAAAATTGAATCACTGTGAGCTAGTGCTACAAAACTTTCATGATTGAGTTTCAGTCATACAATTATCAAACACTAGTGAAATTTTCCACCACTAATGCCCCCAGTATTCCTTCCCTGCCCTTCCTAGTCCTCCCCCTGCTTCCATGGCAGACAATTCCCCCCACCTCTATTTATGGGTGTTATGGTTTGCAATAGAGATAGTTAGAGACCATCATGTTTGGTTCTTTATCTACTTTCAGCACGCATTTCCCATCCTGAGTGACCCCTCCAACAACCATCACTGATTTAGTGATCCTTTCTCAGTTCCAACTGCCTTCTTCCCCAGATCATAAGGGAGCCTTCCAACCATGAAGCAGTTTTTCTAGCCCTTGTCTCTACTGTCTTTGGGTGTTAGTCTCATATTATAATGCAGATCAAAATGGATTAAAGACCACAACATCAGACCAGAATACATAAGGTACATTGAAGAAAGGTCCACAAACCTCTCCACGTCATTGAAGCTGAAAGTATCTTCAAAGTTGAAATGCCACTGATCAAACAAGTAGAAGCAGAGATAAACAAATAGGATTATCTTAAACTAAGAAGCTTCTTCACCTCAAAAATAAATAAATAAAATAAAAACCAGTGACCAGGATAAAAGACAGCCTACAGAATGGCAAAGGATATTCACCCAATACCCTTCTGATAAGTCATGAATAACAAGGATATAAAAGGCACTGGTTGAACTCTACCAAAAGAAAACATCCAATCACATCAGAAAATGGAGCAGTGAAATGAACAGAAACTTTCTCAAAGAAGAAACTCGAGTGGTCGAGCTGGGTTCAATTCTTCTGCCCCTTTCAGAGACCCTGGCAAGCTATCGAGAGTATTTCACCCACACGGCAAAGCCTGGCAAGCTACCCATGATGTATTCAATATGCCAAACAATAACAACACGTCTCACAATGGAGACGTTACTGGGCCCGCTTGAGCAAATTGATGAACTACGGGAGGACAGTGCTACAGTGCTATTTTAAATAAAATTCATACTCTGGGGTAGATGAATGTTAGACAAAAAAGTACATAAATAAGATTGCTTCTGGATTTGTTCTACAATCATCAGTTTTAATATCGATGTCACATAATCAAGAGGCATATGTAAAGGTGTGTGGGATAGTAGTGTACATCTTTATATGCAACACAGATTCTATCTAAATAAGACCCTTGTCACAAATAAACTACAGGGGCTAAATATTTAGATCATTCCCCAGAGTATTAATAAAGATGAAAATATAGGAATTTCTACTTGCTTCTAATTCTTCCTAATGTCTTCCTTTAAAAATAGATACAGAGGCACACAGTTATGAAATTGAATATTTATTTTTGCTCTTTAACATCATGGGATATGTAGAACACATTAAAACAGCTAAAATAAACCTGCGTAAGTTTTATTAAAATAAAACTATCAAGTTGATCCTCCAGGGTATGTTATTTAGAATAGTTCCAGGTCCATTAGAAGCTGCATTTCAGACTCAGCTTGTTGATATCCCATCTGATTTAGATCTTGAACTTACAGATATACGGAAACTTCATATTACAGTTGGCAATTGCCCATTTACGAAAGCCTGGAAAGAGAAAAGAGCTGAATTGAATGCTACTAATAAGACTTGTGAAACTAATGGAAAGCCATCTAAGATTAGGTACTAAGGTCAAAATCTGTAGTTATCTTCACCAGTTCACTGCACTAGGGAAAGAAAATTTCAAAGAAGACATAAGGAACAAGAGAAAGCAAAATATCAGTTAATCTCCAAGGTGTAAGATTTCCTGAATGTCAGGATTAGAAATGCAGATGAGATAATAGATTACTACCCAGAAAAGGTGAATTTTTATTTTTTACCTGAGTTTTGTGATACAGTTCCACAGTAAGCATTTGAATTGAGGGTAGGCATTTCCTCCCATGAATGGTAGTTCAGTACATCAGTACTACTCCAATCCCATCCACCTCCATTAGGTTGATAGCCCTATGTGGAAAGGAAGAAGCAAGATAAGATTAATATTTAGTGTTCTTTGCTCTTTTCAGTCGCTCACTGAAGTAATTGATGATCTTACAAGCATCATGTGATGTGGTCTGCTCTTCCAGATGCTGAAGCAGAACTATTCACTGGGAAACTGTTGATATCCCTGGATACTACTGTTGAAAAAATCTCCAAACCAATCAACACAAAGAACAATGGAACTACTGAGAATAACATACTTTGGTTGGACAATAATTGATCGTGCATTTATCATTATTCTCTAAACTCTAAAGATAATTATAAAGGCTCTTTTTCTTGAAAATTTCCTCAGCACAACATGTATAAAATTTATGATATACAGAGTACTAAGGCATAAAGTCTACTGTGTGAACTTTATAAAAGCTAGACAATAGATGCTTAACCTTCAAATTAAAACAATAGATGGTTAACATTCAGATTGAGACAAGAGATGGCTAATGGTCAAATTGAGACAAAGGCCATCCTTGGAACTCAACCTTTAAATTGGAAAATAAGGAATATTTTACCCCCAATACATCATTCATCAAATCTCTGAGTTCTAGAATAATTGATTGCCCTAGGTGGCAATCAGCGCTTGTGAGGTAAACAGAGATGAAAACATGACATGGTACCTCTGTGGGGTCGTGAAGCCCAATCCAGATGTATTTGTAGTTATTGAAATTACTGTTGATCATTGAGGTCACAAAGGAAGCCTCAGACCCAGAAAGCATAGATACAAGATGTCCTGAGGGCCGCTTCTGGCAAGTTAGCTGTGTAGGAAAGGGACATATGTCAGAGTTTGTGATATGATTCCTTTTGTATAGGCCAAAGGGTGCTAAGAACAGTCTCTTTCTTTTTGTGATAAAGAGACTCCAAACAAAAGAAACCCCTCAATATATCAAATATGTAATATAACTTCATTTGCCTGATGTTAAGCTTCCTGGTAAAAGCTCTAATTGCCACTCACTTCTGCATCCATCCAGGTAGTTGGTGTGTTATACAAGGCATAGCAGTATGAAAAATAGGAAAAATAGCCTTTAGGACAGCTGGTCCGTGTAGAAGCACGCTCCCTTACCACATCATCACCTGAGGTGAAAGAAAGGGGAAAAATGAGATGGAGAAAAACTTAACAGAAATCTAATCCTTCTGCACTAGCAACCGATTGTTGCTAGGTATCATCCATCATTTTCACCAATATTATTATTTTTATGGGGACGAGGGTTTTGGCCACACCTAGCAGTGGTCAGGACTGCACATACTCTGTGATTCAGGATATCTCCCAGTAGTGCTTGGAGGTCTGTGTTGTGGGATTGAGGCAGGTTTGATCACACGCAAGGCTGAAGCCCTGTTCACTATCTTTAGTTCCACATCTCATTTTTGACTCTGTTTCCCCTTTCATATCTATCAACATAGTTTTCATCAAGAAATTCAAAATCTTCTCACTTTACTCTTAATGGAACTCTATGCTTTCTTTCATCAACCACTATTTACTGGGAGTAAAGGAGTGATGAATGAAGAATCACAGGCAGTTTCACTTGGGGAGATGAACTTCGTTGTTGCCATAATTTTCACTCAAGTATGCATCTATTTAATGACCCTCAGCAATGAAAGCTAACCAAGGTTAGAGGAAGAATCTCACCTTGAACTTGAACTAGAAACATCAAGCCGGAGAACAGCATGGCGCTCATAGTGGAACTGGTCATGGCAAGCAGCACCGTGTCTGACTTTGAAGCTATCAGAGATACTGAAAGGAAAAACATTACAAAACAGGCAAAGAGAGAGAAAATGCAATGCTCTGTCTCATGGTTTTGGCTTTGCTTGGTTCCCTAGGAATCAACTGATATGAGTGAAATATTCCACACTATATGGGTCTAGCAATATTGGGAAAACCAACTATTTCTCGATCATCTTCATTAGTCTATGTTCTTTGAGGAGTGAAATCCTCCCGTGTTTTCCTAAATATATATATGTATATATTTATTTATACATATAAATAATTATTTTAAACAGAAAATAATGGGTCTTTATTTATTTATTTATTTAGATAGCCAGCAGTTATTTATTTTTAATTGAATCACTGTATGATACAGTTACAAAGCTTTGATGATTGAATTTCCATCATACAATTATTGAATATCCATCCCTTCACCAAAAAAAAATAATAATAGGCTTTTATGAAGTTATCTCCAGGGACCATATAGGATGCTGGGAATCAAACCCGGGTTGGCCGCGTGCAAGGCAAACACCCTACCTTCTGTACTATCACTACAGCCCCCTCACCCAGTTATTTTTTCCTTTTTTGGGTCACACTGGCGATGCACAGGGGTTACTCCTGGCTCTGCACTCAGGAATTACTCCTGGCGGTGCTCAGTGGACCATATGGGATGCTGGGAATCGAACCTGCATCAGCCATGTGCAAAGCAAACACCCTACCCACTGTACTATTGATCCACGTCCCCTCCCCCACTCAGTTTTTTAAAGATGTAAAGTTCAGATCTTAAAAAAGGTGAACTTTTCATTTTAATTTAATTCTAACTTGATAATAGTAGAAGATGAAATAAATGTTCAGCAGGGCATTGTTTTTGCTACTTACTAATGAGTCTTTCCATTAACATTTAAAAGACTATTTTATCAAATTAATTTATTATTTGAACCATATGTCTCATTTCTTGTCAGGTTGTGTCAATTACATGAATAAATTATCCTTAGTGGAGTTATAAAATAGGAGAGTTTTCTAGAGAAATGCATCTCACTTTTTTTCCCTGCCTTTTGTTTTCCTCCACACAATCTTGCCTCCAAAATTTCCTTAGCTCTAGTAGTTTTAAATTTATTCAGTTAGGAAAATATAAATAAGTGCATGTGCCTAGTGCACATCAGGAATTTTCTGAATGTTGGTTATATAAAAGTACATTAGGTTTCCCTTAGGGTTCTCAAATTCTGGTGGAGGGAAAATGAAGAGGGAACATGAGTAGGTAACATCAGGGAATAAGTTCTATGACAGTAATAATGTGGGCATGTGGGTGCGAGGTGGCGGCAGTTGGGATGATTTTTCTGTATGGTGATCAGAATGTACATTCCTTTACTGAGGTCAAGACATTGAAGCAAATAAATTCATTAAACCTGAATCAGTTAGAGATTTGGAGGAAGTGTTCTAGGCAGAAGGGCTGGCTAGAAAGCTACTGAGCTTGACTCTGGGCACTTTGGGATGTATCCCTGGAGGACCCGCCACCAGGACCAGACCCCCAAAAAATTTTTGGTGTGAATGATTATTCAGGTTGAGACTTTTTGAGTAGAACCTCTTAGGCCGAGTCCCCTTTCCTAGAAAGAGATGAACCATGAGGGCTGGAGAGGTGTCCAGGGAACTCACTTGCTTTGCATGTGCCTGACCCCAGTTTGATATCTGGGACTTCATGGTCCATTGAGTAACCCCCGAAAACAGCCAGAGCAGGAGATGCTGAGCATCACCAGTGGCTCTCAGCCCTCCTCCCTGCAACATCCCTGAAAGACAGAGCTCGAAGAGTGTGTGCAGAGTAAGCAGGGATTTTTCTTCATGTGGATTTAGGGCACTTGCCTAGCAAGTGGCTGACCTGGGTTCGATTCCACCATCCCTCTCAGAGAGCCTGGCAATCTACCGAGAGTAGCCCACCTGCATGGCAGAGCCTGGCAATCTCCCCGTGGCATATTCGATATGCCAAAAACAGTAATAAGTCTCACAATGGAGACGTTACTGGTGCCCACTCGAGCAAATTGATGAACAATGGGAAGACAGTGCTACAGATATTATCTTAGGGTGGGGTGTAGGGAGCACAAAATTTACTTACAGGAATATAAACCAGGATATTTGCCATGGGATGGGTTTAGTATGGATCCAAGCAAATTCCTGTTATGAAAAGAAGATGTTTGAGCCTATTGATGAGAATGCCACAGATAACGTCGCTGTAATTTTAGTTTATTTTAAGTGAGAAACTTTTCACACATGGGAGCTGTTTATTTCCCAGATATCATGTTAAGAAATTAGGGACGAAGGTAGCTCTGTGGTCCAAATTCTGCTTAATGCAGTTTAGAAACCACTATAACATTAGATAATTAAGAAAACGTTGTGTTTTCTCTTCAGAACTCATTGTTGGGGCTGGAGCAATAGCACAGCAGGTAGGGTGTTTGCCTTGCACATGGCCGACCCAGGTTCAATTCTAAGCATTTCATATGGTCCCCTGAGCACCGCCAGGAGTAATTCCTGAGTACAGAGCCAGGAGTAACCCCTGTGCATCGCCGGGTGTGACCCCCCCCACACACACACAGAAAAAGAGCTCATTGTTACAAGCATGTTATGATTTTAAAGCCTTTCTTTTATAATATCACCTTAGCTTTAAATTCTTAACACTTTAACACAAATTAAATTTTATGACTGTGGTAAAATTAAACACTTGCAATCACAAAGGTTACTTTTGCTTCTCCTATGAATACCTGTAACAATTTATATCCAGGACTTCACCTACAATGAGAGCTTTAATAGAAATGAAATTTTACAATCTATTTGTATGATAGAGAAATATTTAATTACTGAATATTATAGGTATGTGAATTATACTCTTCTCCCTTTGAAATCCCAGCGTACTGATACTTCCCTTACCTGGATTGCAAAATTATCTATCTCATTTTAGCTTTCTTTTCAACTGTAATGATTTTGGAGTTCTCATATATTTATGATGGTTTTCTTTACACCTTTCACCTGCCTATTGCTATTAAATCTTCCACCAGTAGAGAACTGAGAGATAGAGACTTCTCCTAACATAAGTATAAGTATAAGTGATAAAGAAGTACTGCTTATAATACTTAAGTAAAATTAACAATAAACAGAAAAAAGTTTAGTACATTAATTGAAAAGTGAAAAAAGGCCATTAACATTACTCTCTAGAGGAGAAACAAAGTCATTAATGCATATGTTAATGTCATTCATTAGCAATCACAAAATTTAAGTTAAAATAAAGAATATATAATGTACTCAAATATAGACAAAAATATTATTTAATAAAACTTTGGTGGAAAAGTGGAAAAAAATTATAGTTTCATTTTCAAAGAGGTTGTATCATATACATTACTACCAGCAAAAATCTTCACACCAAAATTTTGCTAACTCAAAAAGTTCTGCAAATTTCTGCTGGAGTTAATGTACATAATACAATCTCTTTTCTTTCTAATTTTTCTCACTCAGGAATATTCAATTTGCACATGCATAACAAATGGTTTATATTTGAATATTTAAATTATTATTATTCATAATAGCAAAAGTTTAATTTGCAAGCAAGTGTTTAATTTTACCACTGTCATCAAATATACTTTTTGTTAATAACTGCACATACTTTGTGCCTATAAGTTGCATACTGGTACTGGTCCATAGGCCAGTGATTGAGAACTACTGTTCCAAACAATAATATGATACAAATTAAAGGGAAAGTAGATAATTTAAATTGAGTTACACAATGTAAAAGTCCAGTGTCCACTGTCCACTGACCTACCTACCATTGTTTTTCGAGTTGCTTGAGCGGGCCCAGTAATGTCTCCATTGTGAGACTTGTTGTTACTGTATTTGGCATATCGAATATGTCACGGATAGCTTGCTAGGCTTTGCTGTGCAGGTAGCTTGCCGGGCTCTCTGAGAGGGGTGAGGAATCGAATCCGGCTCCACCAGGCCGGCCATGTGCAAGGCAAATGCCCTACCACTGTGCTATCGCTCCAGCCCACAATGTAAAAGAGTACAAATAATGGAACTTATCTATAAATTATTGTAGTTAACTTAAAGAAATCAATCTGAAATCAATGTAAATCGATTTTAAAAATTATAATTTTTAAAACTTTAAAACAAATCATTGTTCATAAACAGTATTGTTTGGTTTATATAAGCAATTGGACACTTAAAAACTGAAAACAAGTAAATCAGAGTTATAGGCAATCATCCGATATAACCATTCAAGACAATATTAAAGAAAATGAATACAAATATAAAAAGTAAATGCTGTGTGGCCTTGTTTTTTGGGGTTTTTTTTTGTGCTTTGAGTTCCCACCTGATTCTGCTCAGGGTCTATTTCCGGCTCTGTGCTCAGGGACCAGTCCTGACAGGGCCTGGGTAACCATATGAGGTGGCAGGCATCTAATCCAGTGGCCCATGTGCAAGGCAAGCAGTGTGATCTTTTTTCTAAAAGAACATTTGGTTGTCAAGAGATAGTTCAAAGGACTGGAGTACTCATTGGCACCTTTGGCACCTGGACACAACAAGGTACAACCTTGATGGTCACCAAATAATTTCAGAGTAACCCTGGGGATCCCAAAACATGGCCAAATGCCTTTAAGACTCACACTTGCAGGGCTGAGGATTGCCAGGACAATTCTCTGGTTCCTGAGTATAGTTGAGAATTTTCCCCCAAATTAATTGTTCAAAAATATTACTAAATAATTTAACAAATATATTAAAATAATAAACTCAAATTTTAAATTATACATATTAAGGGAAAAGAAATATAAGGACCAAAATGTTAATAGTCATTTAGCTTTGTGTAAGAGTAGTATATACTTACACTTTTATAAGTATTATTTTAATCCTATATGTGTTACATATATTATCCTTTAACCTGGTGTTTTCCAATATTTTTCAACTTGAGGACCAGCAGCTTACCAGTCCTTGACTACCAGTTCACAAATTGACACTTATAACCACTGTGGTAGTTATAACTGCTATTCATGGAACAT